TGGACAAGGCAGGGGCGGCGGAGGGCGGCAGCGCCTCGTTCCCCCCCACCCCCAGGTTGCGTATGCCCGAGCAATCGCCGGTAGGGAGGGAGGGACAGTACTTGCCCTCTTTCCCGCACACCTGGAGGGCGCCGCTCGGGTCCGCCGCCCTGGAGCCCCACAGGCCAGCGCCTTGGTCGTGTGCAGGTGACGCCCCCGCCCGTCTTTGGGCCGGAGCGATTTGAGAAGCAGGCCGCTGGAGCCTGGTTTTAGAGAATCTAGCTGCAAGGGGCCTGCCTAGTTCTCATCATGGGCATTGATGGGAGCAAATCTGCTTGTCGTGGGATTAACATGGGCAGATGGTCGGGGCCTAGCGCTCCGTCGTATGCTACTGGTGGCGGTTACAGTTCCATGCACTTGGCCCACCTGTCACCCAACTGGGATGAAAGCCAGGTGACTCAGGGCACCTCCTGCCCAGTGGGGCTGTTCAGATTCTATCCTTCGGGAAGAACTCAACTGCCACGCAGGTTCTGCGTCCTCCCACTTCTTTGGACCCTGATGTCGCTTTTGGTCAGCCCCTGCACTTGGCAGCCCGCAAGCGAACTCAGTAAGCATTACTCTCGGCTTGCACACCCGGTGGGATAATGTCATAGAAAAACAAGCGATAAATCTTTGGGAAAGGATTCCTAAAGCTCAAAGAAAGTAAATGCTTGAGGAGCTTCCTTTTTCTGTGTCTTTTCCTCTACTGCTTCTCTGACTTCCTTCCCTTGGGTACTTTTTGGTCTCGGAAAGGATCTGTGAGTCAACTGTTGCAAAAAGGCAGATGGCTTTTAGGGTGATGAGCAGACCATTCATTTTGTAGAAATTCTTGGCAAATTCGAGGTTGCTTATTTGAAAGATGTTCTCCCCATCCCTTTGCCCCTACAAAACAAGTCCCAGGATCCCAGAATCATGGAACTGAAGGCTCCAATGCCCTTTCAAGAGTCCTCTGACCCAGTGATCCTGGACAGGTTGCCTTGTCAGCTCACAGCCGGGAAGCGGCACATGTGGAACTGGGCAGCAATAAGAAGGTGTGACTGATCAAGGATGTTTACCTCCTGCTGCCTTTAGTTGGGAAGTGACTAGTGCCTGGATCTCCACTCTGAAGGGAGCAGAGTCTTCTGCTTTTAACTGCCCGGAAAGTTCTCATGTCTATAAGGAAATTAATGCTGAGTCATTTCTCTAGAGGAAATGTATTAAATACAAGTCAAAGTCTTCATTCATTGAGCTCAACCTGCAGACTGAGCCTAACCTGTTTTCTTATCCAGTGAATTGTGAGCTGTTTTTGAAGACTAACTTGTATTAAACTGACATCATAGAAACTAACTTTTTTTTCAAGTCCTTACTTTGCCCCCAATATTTTGTTGAAGATTTTCGAGCATATAGCCAAATTGGAAGAATTATACAGTGAACATCCCCTACTCACCACTTTGATTATTCTTTTTCCACTTTACTATACTTGCTTTATCACATATCTACCCACCCATTGTGACCTTACTTTTTAAAGTCATTTATGATTTTAAAAATACTCCCTGGAGCGGTATTTCTATCTTAGATCAGGGAGCCAGCAGTATGCTGGAGGTAGGTGGTGGTGATTATTCTTAAATGTTGCTTCAACACCCATTGTGTGCAGAGACTGTTATGAGGAAATGAAGAGACCTAAGACTTAAGCTGACTAGAAAGGGATTTGATTTTTTATGTTTTAAGAGACAAAAGATAAGTGGCAGTTTGTGGTAGCAAATGCCAAGCAGTAGTGCCAAGTAAAAAGTAGTTAATACCAAGTAAAAAATGCCAGTTGACATCAATAACACCCATTGAGTTATTGCTGGATATGGAACACTTTATTAAAAGCTCTGTCCTTGTATTCTCTCATTTAATTCTCACAACAGCTAGGTAGGTATGTCATTATTTTTTTCTCCCTTTTATAGATTAGGAAATGAAGGCACAGAGAAGTTGGTTAGCTTTTGGTGGTACTAGAAAGTTGGGGAACCAGATCCTGAATTCTGGCATTCTGGGTCCAGGCAGCTCTAGACATTCTTAGTCACTGTGAAGATGCCAGAGAGACCCTCAGGCCTGACCAGAGAGGAATGAAGGCGTAGCTGGGGGTTGCCAGGGGTCTCAACCAGGCACCTGGGCACAGATGCCAGTTTTCAGATGGCTCCAGGAGGCTGGTGTTCTGATTTTCCTGTATGTTTGATGGGTGTTTATGCCTGGGTTTGAGGGGGTCAGCGGCTCTGTGAGGAGCTGTTTCTCCCTGGTCAGTCTCCCTCCTGCTGTTTCTACTTCCTGCCATGTCTACTTCCCAGAGCTTGCCTTCTGTTTTGCTTCCCGTCTTCCTGTCCCTTCTGCCACTTCCTTCTCCACCTGCACTCTTCCTTCCTGGGTTTGTGAGAGAGAATTTGTTCCAAAAGAGCTGATTTTGACCATGGCAGATTCTCCTGTTTTCGTACATGTCCCATCTTGTGTTGTCATTACTGTTGCCCTGCCTTCAGAGAGCAGTCTGGTCCCAGCCTTGAGGCCTCTAGATAAACTCTGTCTCCTGGTAGCTCCAGTTTTCACACCAGACTGGCTGCATCCTGTCTTTTGGCTCTTTCCTCTCTCCTGGCCACAGGGCAGTGTTCTGGGGCTGGATGGGACCGCAGGCAGAGCTTCTGTTGGGTTGCCTTGCTGCCCTCAGTCAGCTGCTGTGTGTTTGGCTGCTTTGTGTCTGGCCATGTGGCCCTGCCGTGGTGAGAAGCTTGTTCCCATCAGAAGCCAGGACTCCAGAAATGACCTCAGGGAGCAGCAGCTCCGCCAGCCCCTGGGGTCGCAGGGCAGTCAGTGGCAGATCTTAGCCTTGGCCACCCCCTACAAAGCATAACGAGAGAGGACAGAAAAAAGAATGGAGAATGGCAGAAGGAGAGACTGGGAAAGAGAAGGAGGAGCTCACTCAGAGAGGATGAAGAGAGGACCTTTACGTCCTTGGATCCACATGGTCATATGCCTCCCACGGGACCACAGCAGGCTATGGCTCTCTGTGTGTTGCCCTCACCATGCCCAGAAAGGGGCTGGTGTCAGGGAAGAGACCTGCCCCTGTGGAAAAGGGGCCCCTGGGGAGCAGCAAGATGGTTGTGTATTTTGAGATTCGACGAAATCTGTAAGTTTTCATTATTCTTTCAAAAACAAAGCTCGCCGGGCTCAGTGGCTCAGCCTGTAATCCCACACCTTTGGGAGGCTGAAGTGAGTAAATTGCCTGAGCCTGCGGGTTTGAGACCCGCCCGGGCAACTTGGAGAGACCTCATCTCTACAATAAACCCAAAATTAGCCGGGCGTGGTAGCGCACACCTGTCGTTCCAGCTACTTGGAAGGCTGAGGCGGAAGGATCGCCGGAGCCCAGCAGGTCGAGGCTTCGGTGGCCGGGAGTGGCCACTGCACTCCAGTGTGGGCAACAGAGCGAGACTCCAACTCAAAAAACAAGCAAACAAAAAAACAAAAGCAAAGCTCAAGCAACTCACCTACCTCAGCCTCCCAAAGATTACAGGTATGAGCCACCATGCCAGCCTGTAATCCCAGCACTTTGGGAGGCTGAGGTAGCTGGGTTGCTTGATCCCAAGAGTTCATGACCAGCCTGGGCAACATAGCAAAACCTCATCACTGCAAAAAGTCAACAAAATTAGCCAGGCATAGTGGCGTGTGCCTGTGGTCCCAGCTACTTGGGATGCTGAGGTGTAAAGATCACCTGAGCCCAGGAGGTTTAATCTGCCATGAGCTGTGGTTGTCCTCATCATGCTACTGTACTCCAGCCTGGGCAACAGAGTGAGACCCTGACTCAAAAAACAAACAACAAAAAAAAACAACAACCAAAGATCGGCGCATAATATAGCAAAATAATAATATTCATTAAGTTTGGAGAAGTAAGTACTCGAATGTTACATTTTTTTCCCTCTGTACTTTTCTGGCTCTGCTTCTGATTTGTGGGGTAACCTCTCACTCCTCTCTTTGGACCTCATTTTGCCATCCATGGCATGAGGCATGAGGCGATCATAGCAGAGGGCTCCAAGACCCACCTGGTCCTGATGTCCTCTGGACTGGGAGCCAGACACTGACCCTCGCCCTCCTGCTGCTTGTATTCCTCCAGCTACCACCACTGCCATGCCCAACTCAGTGCTGTGGGCAGTGGACCTCTTTGGGAGAGTGTCCACGCTCTCCACGGCCGGCCAGTACTGGGAGCTGTGCAGGGACACCCAGCTGGAGTTCAAGCGGGTCAGCGCGGCCACGCAGTGCTGCTGGGGCATTGCGTGCGACAACCAGGTCTATGTGTATGTGTGTGCCAGTGATGTCCCCATCCGCCGCCGGGAGGAGGCCTATGAGAATCAGGTAGCATCGCATGCGTTTGGAGTTGCGGAGTGGGTCCGTTTGTGTGGGTTATTGGTTAAAATGATGGCTCACAGGAGAAAAATGGAGGCCCCAGACTCCCCCACCAATTCCCACAATCGTGTCGTTCCTTGTAGTTAAAATCTCAGTTGTGTAGTGTCTGGGGTCTTTGGGGCAGGAGCCCCTATTGTGTGCTTACCAGAGCAGGCTGGCCAGGTCCACACGGGGTGGGCTCCAGGTGGTTTCCAGGAGCCCAGGATGAGGTGTGGCCTCCACTTCCTGCCCACCCCTTTGGGGCCGTGCTGATGTCCTGGCTCACAGTGAAATTGTGGGGAGGTCATTTCCCATTCTGGAGACCAGAAGGGTCTGCCAGGCAGTGTCTACTGGCCTCAGGGAGGTCCCGCCCGTCTGGGCAGGTTGGATCCACGCCCGTCCCTGTGTCCCTGACCCTCAGCGCTGGAACCCCGTGGGCGGCTTCTGCGAGAAACTCCTGCTGAGTGACCGCTGGCTCTGGAGTGACGTGAGTGGGCTCCAGCATCGGCCGCTGGATGGGGTGGCACTGCCTTCGCCGCACTGGGAGTGGGAGTCCGACTGGTACGTGGATGAGAATTTTGGAGGGGAACCCACCGAGAAAGGGGTAGGTGAACTTGATATCCGCTGTGGCTGCCCCGCCTTGGGCTCCGCCTGTCCCCCAGTGCTGCTGTCCCCAGTGCCCAGGGTGTCTGAGCTCTGCGGGCCGTGACGGGATGGGGTCGTGCTTTAGGCCATGCTGTCCCATTCCTGACACGCCGTTCCCTCGCTTCTCTTCCTACCTTCCCAGCTCTTCAGATTCTTCCCCCAGAGTCTCACAGAGCCCTGCCTTGATATTTCAGGGGTGGACCTATGCCATTGACTTTCCTGCCACCTACACCAGAGACAAGAAGTGGAATTCTTGTGTGCGGCGGCGGAAATGGATCCGTTACAGGAGATACAAGTCCCGGGACACCTGGGCCAAGGTCTCCATGCCTGAATGTGACTTGGGGGTGGGACAGGGCCAGGAGGACCCGAGACTGGGGCCAGCAGAGCCCGGTGGGAAGCGTCACATGGAACCTCATCCCCACATTCCCTGCCTGTGCCCAAGGAGATGCCACACCCACCTCGGGACCTGGCCTTTGAGCTACTTCCTGTCGTAGGGCACTGTGTGTCCCTACACTTGGGAGATGACCACCTGGAGGCAGTCTAGGCCGTGGCCCAAGATGGACAGAACTTGTTCTGTCCCAGGTGTCTGAGCCACTCTGTCCTGGACGGAGCCTCAGTCAGGCACTTTTCCTCCTGTCCCTCGCCAAGGGAGGCATGTCTGTCTCTAGTGTTGTTCCCACAATCAGGAAACCTCCCAGCTTAGGGAGGAGAGGCTAGAGTGGGCTCTGCTGTGGCCCCAAGTGAGAGGAGGCCTTGATGCTCACCAGGCCTGTCTGGAGAGTTCACGGCTGTGAGATGGGGCTGCCCAGCTTGACTGCCCTGGGGCTGGGAGGAGCTGGAACAGCAGGGTGCAGGGCCGCGCTCTGTCCTCAGCCCTGTTCTAGGCCAGGAGGAGTCACAGTGGTCAGGTCACTGGGAAGCCTGGAGCTGAGACCTGCAGTGCATCTGCCGTCCACATGGGAGCAGCAGTGGCCACTCGGGGCCAGCGGCCCAGGCCTGGTGGCCAAAAGGAGAGCAAGGCCGAGGGGACCCAGGGCCCAGAACCTGCAGTCCTGATGCTGTCATCTCTGCAGAGTCAGACAGTCAAACTGGAGAATGGAAGGCCAGAGGGGAGTGGACAGGGAGGGCGTGCATGTCCGGCACACACTGGGTCCTGACTGCCCCCACTTCCTGCCTTTTTGTTTCAGATCCCCTCAAAGGATGACCCCAAGCAACTGCCCGACCCCTTCAACGACCTCTCTGTGGGGGGGTGGGAAATCACAGAGGAGCCCGTGGGCCGCCTGTCAGTATGGGCTGTGTCTCTGCAGGGAAAGGTAAGGCCCAGCCCTTCCCGTGCCCAGGATGAGAGTCGGCTACAGTCAGGGTAGGGCAGGAGACAAGCTGCCTTGCCTTGTCCTCCCAGAGGTGACAGAAGGGTGAGGGCTGCCTCCTTCTGGCCTGTGGTGCCTGGGGCTGACGCTTCCGACACAGCTGGTGTGTTTCCGGGCTCCCCACGATCCCTTCTGTGGGACCCGTCCTGCGGGCCCCTGAGTCTCACCCCTCCCAGAAGCCTCTGATCTTCTATCCCACGCCTGTTCCTAGTCCCTCGACTGAGCTCCCAGCATGCTGGTGAGCACCCACCCTGGGCTCAAGTGCCATCGGTGTTGCCTCCTTAAGACAGATTCCAAGCCCCCTGCCAACTTCCTCGTGGCGCCCCTCCCAGTCCCGGGAGTGCTGTGGGTGGGTGGGTGCAAGGCTCGCGGATGGCAGGATCGGTGAGTGGATGTGTGGATGGGTGGAGGCTGGGTCTGACAGTCCAGGGAGAGGCGATCCTGTCTCGGGGAGTTAGTGACCTAAGCAAAGGAATCAGACCAACTCCTGATGGCAGCCGCGGAAGATTGTCTTGAAGACAAGGACTCAACACTTGAGTTGTGGTTTCATATGCACTTTATGGTTATTTAGTAACTGACTGAAAACTGACCATAGTTCTCCAGTTGGCTCTGGGGCTGTCAAAGGTTTTATTTAGCAGCTTAGTCTGGGCCTTGTTGGCCCAGACTTAGGTTAACAGCTGCTCCCTCTGAGCCATGCTGAAGGGCAGTGGGGAGGGGCCGGTCAGAGTGAGAGAGCTGGCCTGTGACAGAGCCCTCGATGGAGGGACCACGCCCACCTGGATGCAAAGAGAGGGAGAACAGGGGCTTCAGAGCAGTGTTTGTGTTCCCCGAGTGTCAGCTGCGAGCTGGCAGTGCCCTGTGCCCCACCCATGGAGCCTGAGGGTGGGACCAGGATCTGGGCTCCCGCAGGAGCTGGGGAGACAGGTGGGCCCTGAAGCCAGCTCCCAGGCCTGGTCCTGAGGGCCACTTGTAAGGGTGGAGTAGCAGGATTGGGCGACCAGGGTCCTCAGTCTGAAGACAGCTTTCGGAGGAGGTCACCAGCCCTCTCTGGGCTAGAAAGCAGCGTGCCGCCTCCTCCTGATGAAATGTGCCAAGCAGTTCTGACAATATGAGCGAGAGAAAGACTGACATCTTCGACCTTTGTAACCATTTCACCACCTGGACCTGACTTCGCCTAGAGGCGGGTGTCCTGAGAACACATCACCACAAGGGGGCGCAAAACACACGGGCTGGCTTGGAGTGCCTGAGGCTGGAGTCAGGTGGTGGGTGGGCGAGTGGGCGACTCTCAGAGCAGGCCAACAGAATGAGTCTATCCCCCAGAACCAGGGTTTGCGTTTTTCCCCAAGGGTGAAGGGATCACCTGACTCTACTGGCAATGGGTGGGTCGGGACAATCAGGGCATCAGCCACCCTCCCCCTGCAGTGGTCCCCACACCCCACCAGAGACCCTGTGCTTGGCCCGTGTGGACATGCTGCTACGAGTGCCATGCCTCTTTCTCACCTCCCAGGTGTGGTACAGAGAGGACGTCAGCCACTCCAACCCTGAGGGCTCATCCTGGTCACTGGTGGACACCCCCGGGGAGGTGGTCCAGATCAGCTGTGGGCCCCACGACCTCCTCTGGGCCACCCTTTGGGAGGGGCAGGCTCTGGTCCGGGAAGGAATCAACAGGAACAGCCCCAAAGGTGGGCGGCACAGAACCAGCCCCTCCACCCCATGCTGGGGAGAAGGGTGAGGGCGCAAACTCCTCAGTGTCCCGGCTGATGAAGGCCCCTGGGGGGTCTCTTGGGGGCATGATAGGAAGTTCTTGGTCCATCGTGGAGCCTCCTGGGCCTGAAAACGGGATCATGCATGTCTCCGCGGGAGTCGGCGTGGTCTGGGCCGTCACCAAGGACCGGAAGGTAAGGTGGGGATGCTGGGCTGGGCCCCCGAAGGTTGTGTTTTCTGTTCTTGAGTGCGGGCTAAACCCTTTAGAGCAAATCCGGCACCAGCCAAACACCATGCACTTTCTCTTGTCAAAATCATTGCTAATCTCCAAGATGTTTAGTGCCACAAAATCTCCCCTCGCCCACATACCCCTGCCGAAGTGCTATAACTCTGTGTATCACTCAATAGGCCACGACATCTTGAATAATCAGAAGTGAATTCACTAAAACGCTCAGTCAACTGAATACCTCCCTTTCTCCCAGTCAGTGTTGGTCATTTGTATTTTATCAGAGGCAAGTCCAATAAAATAAACCCCGTGCCTGCATCTGTATCGCCAGTGCTGAAGGTCCTGGAGCTTCAGGCCGTTCCCAGGAGAAAATAGAGGCTAGACCATCCCCCCATAGGTTCTGGGTACCACATTTCCCAGGGACCATGGCTTCCAGGGCCTCTTACAGCAATATGTCATCCCCTTTGAGTTAAATGAGCAAAAATGAGATTTATATGAGCAGTGCTCATAGTTGTCAGACAAATAAGTGATTGTGCTCACTTTATTTGGGTTAAGGAGACAGTTTAGATATTCAATAAATTTTGTAAAAAGGGACTTTTTTTTCATTAATTAATCCCTACCCTCCACCCCCACTTCGGGAATTCTGACTAGAACAGGTGAGTACTGATAGCACAAAGTCCCCAGTGGGTTGAAACAGTGAAGCCACCGTGCAGAAGGATAAGAACAGCCTTGAGGGGAATGCAGTGAGCTGGGGTGGGGTCAGAGGGTGAGCCAGGCGAGTCGTAGAGCTACAAGGAGGCCTGAGGAAAATCTGGTTGGATTGTGTGTATTTTTACAAGATGATGTGAAAAAAAGTCGAAGAGACTATTTAAAAAGTTAAGGAGAAAAAAAAGTTTTAAAGAGACTATTTCGGCCAGGCATGGTGGCTCATGCCTGTAATCCTAATACTTTGAGAGACAGAGGTAAAATGATTGCCTGAGCCTAGGGGTTCGAGACCAGCCTGGGCAATTTGGCAAGACCTCGTCTCCACAATAAATCAAAAAATTAGCTGGGTGTGCACCTATAGTTCCAGCTACTTGGAAAACAGTATAAGGCTCTCTTGAGCTTGGGAAGTCAAGGTTGCAGTGGTTTTGAACATGCCACTGCACTCCAGCTTGGGCAAGAGTGAGATTCTGACTCAAAAAAAAAAACAAAAAAAATGAATAAACAAACAAAACTATTTCCTAAAGCACTGAGAATAGACCCAAACTGGGTTATTTAAAGAAATCATTTTCCTAAAAAACATTACTAAAGTCATTGTTTTCCACAGAAGCAAACTTGATTCAATAAAGTGACTTTTTCCAAGCATTAGGCCAGAGAATAGGCAGGAACTTGCCAGGACAGGTGTGACTGAGGCCAGGTGACCCTTAGTGCTTTAGCCTTTGGTTTGGAATGGTGCCAAGCAAGGAAGACATGGGCCTAGGTGTGGGGAGAGGGACATGGGTAGATACTTCCTAAATGATATGTCCTGATCATATGTGGCATGAACCGAAGGATCAAATTGTTCATTTGTTCTTCTTGAAAATGAAAAAAAAAAAAAAAAAAGCCTTTTAGCGGGCTTGTTTATTTCTCACTTTCCCAGGTGTGGTTCCGAAGGGGCGTCAATTCTCACAATCCCTGTGGCACCAGCTGGATCGAGATGGTTGGAGAAATGATGATGGTGAACGTGGGCCTGAACGACCAGGTGTGCACTTGGGCCCATGTCTTGTAGATAGTAGCTGTCTCACAATTGATGCAATGTGTTGCCTGGTGGTCTACTGTCCCTTCGCATCACTGGGGCTCATGATGGTGATGTGATGGGGGTTCCATTGCCCCTGCACACTCCCAGCCAGGGTTCCAGAGCTCTTGCTTATTCCCCAGTTGATTCCCTAAGTACCCTCAGAGCGGTGAACATGGATCTGGGGGTGCTGAGGAGTATGCGCCCTGAGACTGGAAGGTTTCACGGAGAAATGTGTGGGTGAAGTCAGGTGTGATTGTCACCAAAGGAAGGAGGATGCTGATTTCCTCATGCTGTCTCTTAAGCACCAGCTGCACAGTTTGACAGTGTAGCCTCCTTCTCATAGATGATGAGATTTGGGTACTTTGAAGCCTAAAGGATGCAGCCCTTGCTGTGAAGGTGACACTCCCCACCCTGCTGCAGTGCACTAAAAACTTTCCAGGGTACCAGACTTCCCTCTTCACCACTCCCTCCCACTCACCCTGGTACACCTGCTGGTGACTGTGACCAGCTCAGCCTGCCATGGCTAAGTGACAGGGATGCCACAGCCCATCCATCCAACAAAGCTACCTGGCCCTTTAGCAAACCATCCTTCCTTGGCACCCAAAGGCAGAGGGTAGGATGCCTGCCTGGCCACCTTTCCCATGGAAAGTGAGGTCAAAATCAGGGAGTTACTTTGCATCTTAAAAAGAACAGGGCTACTTCTGAGTTCACTGGGGAGTCAGTTTCCCAGCAGAGGTCACACGGAAGACAGAGACATAGGTGGACATCACATCCCAGCACAGTGCCCGCCAGCCCTACCTCTGGACCTTGTCACCTCAAAGCCCTGGGTCTGCCTGAGGTCAGGGAGCCAGAATCGGGTCCCTGCTTCTCCTGAGCTTGCTGCCATGTCCTCTTCCTGCATGTGACTTCTGCGCCCACCCCATGGCTCTTCCTGGACCTCCCTAGTCCAACCCACACTCATGCATGTACCCCCTGCACATAGGGGATCCTGCCTTTGTTTGCAGATGTGTCCCTTACCCTCCTGTCCTCCCTCCAGACCCCTAGTCATCGAGAGGAGCTCCCAGGTCTGCACCCAGCCTACGCAGAGCAGCACTTCTCTCTTTTCTAGGTCTGGGGTATCAGCTGTGAGGACCGAGCCATGTACTTCCGTCAGGGTGTCACCCCCAGTGAGCTCAGCGGGAAGACATGGAAGGCCATCGTCGCAGCTCGAGAGTGTGATCGGTCGCACTCCGGCAGCTCATCAAGTCTTCTCAGGTGATCTGAGGGCGGCAAGACACAGAGGAGTTGGGCTGGGCATGGGCTACCTGTGGCCTCAGCGGGCACATCCAGAGAAGGCTGTCACCAGGCAGGAGAAAATGGGTCTCCAGCCCACCAGAGCCACAGCTGTCCTGCCCTCAGTCTTGTGCCTCAGCCCACAGAGAGGAGATCATGGGGTCAGCCTAGGGGCATCCTCGGACACTCTGGGCTGCTAAGGGCGGCACCTGGGAGCCGACGAAGTCTGGGACGTCATGATGGAGCCAGGAATCCACCCGAGCAGGGCTGGCCCATTGGTTGTGAAGTCCAAAGAGCTAGGAGGCAAAAGGCTTCTTTGTGGGTGGGTGCTAAGGACCCTCTGTCGAAGGGAACTGAGGACAGGATAGAACGTCTTTTTCTTGCAGAGCAGTGGTCTCAGAAGTGCTGTGCACCAGTAGCTCTCTGGGCCCCACCCAGAGTTTCTATTTGAGATGTTGCGTTTCTCGCAAGGTCCCGGGTAGGGTTGCTGCTGCTGCTGCAGTTTTGGGGATCCCACTTCAGGATCTGTGGGTCTGAAGAGCATGGGTGAGTCCCAGCTCTGCCCACCAGCCACGAGCGCACAGACAGGTGACTGGGCACCCAAGCTGAGGATGCCTCAGCTCTACAGGGAGTGCCCACAGATGTTAGCCTAGAAGGAGATGGCACGTGAGACCCTGGCTCCGCAGCCAACCACGTTCCCATCTATGGCTCAGACTCTCCCCAGACCCTGGTCCCCACCCCTCTGTTCCCCACACTTGGTGATCACTGTCGGCACGGGGGCCAGGAAGGAGGCCAAGGAGAGAGTTTGCTCACATTTCTTCTGAGGGTTTAGTCTCCCCAGCTGGTAGTTCTTAAACTAGACATCACTGAGAAGCTTCAAAAACTACTGTGGCCAAATCTCCATGACCTTGGGTTTGGCAGCAGCTTTTAGATGTGACACCAAAAGCACAAGCAACAAAAGGAAATGGAGATAAATGGGTTTCATCAAAATTAAAAACTTCTGTGATTCAAAGGATACTATCAAGAGAGTGAAAAGACAAACCACAGAATGGGACACAGTATTTGCAAACCGTATACCTGATAAGGATCTAGTATCTAGAGTATATGACGTCTTACAACTCAACGACAAAAGACAAGCCAACCCATTTAAAAAGGATAAAGAACTTGAACAGACATTTCTCCAAATAAGATATACAACATCATTAGTCATTAGGGAAATGCAAACCCACACCCCAGTAAGATAGCGCTTCCTACTCACCAGAACAGCCATAATCAGAAAGACAGCAGCAGATGCTGTTGAGGATTTGTAGAAATCTGCTCCTGGGGACATATAATGGTACAGCCACTATGGAAGACAGTCTGGCGGATCCTCAAAAAGTTAAACGTAGAATTGCCACATGACCCAGCAAGTATACCCCAAAGAGCTGAAAACAGGTGTTCAAACAAAAACTTGTATGGGAATGTGCACAGAAGCACTATTCACAACAGCCAAAAGGTGGAAATATCCCAAATGTCCACCAGTGGATAAATGGATAAACAAAATGTGGTCTGTCCATACAGCAGGATATTATTCAGCCATAAGGAGGAAGGAGGCACTGACACGTGGTACAGCGTGGATGCACGGAGAAAACACTATGCTCAGTGAATAAGCCAGATACAAAAGACCACGTATTAAGTCCGTTTATATGAAATGTCCAGAATAGGCAACTCTATAGCTATGGAAGGCAAATTCGTGGTTGCTGGGGGAATTGGAGTGGAGGGGAAGAGGACAGGGAGTGACTGCTTCATGGGTGTTGGGTCTCCATTTGGGGTGACGGCAAAGTTCTGGAACTGGGTGGTGGGGATGGTTGCACAACATCGTGAATGCACTCAGTGGATTGTGTGCTCTAACACAGTTAAAATATTAATCTTTATGTTATGTATTTCATCACAATAAAAAAAATTGCCAATTCCAGACCTCCACCCCCAGATGTGTTGATATGATCAGTCTGAGGGGTGGCCCAGATGTGTCAGCCCCCCCGGGAAGCAGGTATTTGGAGGGAATATTCCAAATATTCTTGACCTCCACCTGCTCCTGAGGTTGCATGAGCACTCATGCTGGAGCCAGGCCCGCCTGACGGCAGTGCGTGTCCCCCACAGGAGAGTGACGGGTCTGCCTGTTTTGTCTCCAGTGCTGGCTGCTTCTTTGGTGATGAGGTGAGAGGCAGCGGTGAGTCTGCGCCCAGCGACACCGATGCCTCCTCGGAAGTGGAGCGACTGGGGCCTGGCCAGCCTCTTCCTGCAGAATCTCTGGATGACTGTGGAAACCCCAAGGGGAGCTCGGCCTTGGGCCCAGGGGCCAGCAGGAGTGCAGAAGGTGCCATGGAGAACACCTGCCCAGCCGAGGGCAACAGGGAAACTGACCCCAACAAACACCCCAGGCCAGCACCCACCCTGGCAGAGCTGCCCTGGACCAATATTGACCTAAAGGAGCCCAAGAAAGTGCCCAGCCATTCAGCCACTGGCTTACCTGAGACCACTGGCCTCTCCTCACTGGGGCTCCTCCCACTGGGTTTGGAGGAGCCCTATGGGGTGGATGACCACCCGCTGTGGGCCTGGGTGTCTGGAGGTGGCTGTGCAGTAGAGGCGTGCACCATGCCCAAGTGGTTCACTGTCCCATCGGGTAAGGTTTCCTGTGGAGCCAGTGGATACTCCTGGGGGGCGTGGGGTGTGGGATGAGGCCAGGGGCTTGGGTAGGCCCAATGTCCGGCTCAGTTGCCCCAATGTGCTCATAGTCCTGAGCCACACATCGGACCTGTTGGTGACCTTCAGAGACCAGCTGGAGCTGTCAGGAGGAGGAAGCCAGCGGCCGGTGCCCCTTGCCTGTCTGCAGCTCTCCTCGTCCTAGCAGTGGTGGCTGTTTTCTAGATTGAATTGTTGGGGTCAGCGACTTGCCCATTGCAGTGAAAGGACAGGGTGGCTTGCGGGGCATTTTAAGAAATTGTAGCTTTCTAGCAAGAAAGAGCTGATTTGGGAGAAAAAGCACCCTGGCCTTCTGCCCGGGTGTGGGACAGTGCCCTGGCCCTGAAGCTCTGGCTGTCCATAGGCCTGGCCCCCTCGGTGCAGACACTGTCCCTGTCCATCACGCCAGCCCAGACTGCCACCTGGAGGAAGCAGATCTTTCAGCAACTCACGGAAAGGACTAAGCGGGAACTGGAGAATTTTAGACACTACGAGCAGGCCGTGGAGCAGGTGGGTGCCCAGCTGTCCCCGGATGCATTTTTTTCAACAGGCATTCATCAAGTGCCTGCTGTATACCAGCTCTGAGGTGGGGCAGAAGAAACAGATGGGTGCGTCTGTGCCTCTGTCCATCTGTCTCAGATGCAAAGCATCCCTCCTGGGTCCTGTGCTAAATCAGAGATAGAGAAACAAGTTCGTTTATTTGTCCATCATGAAAACTTCTGTTCAGGCCCCGCTGTGTTTTGGGCATGGTGTAAGCCCTGGGGACCCAGAGATGCCAGCAACCCAAGTGGGGTGAGTGGGGAAGTGGGGGGAATCACATCCTCTGCCTGCCAGAGGGCAGTGTCTTATTGGACCGAGGCAGCACAGAGTTGAGGGCAGTGGTTAACTTCTCCCAGGCCCAACCTGCCTGGCACAGCCCCTGCTCTCCTGTGGTGGAGCCCGGCGCTCAGGGATCCAGTCAGGTGGGGGGACAGAAATCACGTGACGGCCCTGTTCAGAGGGCTTGGCCCCAGGTTGGACTGTGCTGCAGGACATCCACTGGCCACTGAGTTGGGCAGGCCAGGCTTTGGGTTCCAGTGTCACTGCTAACACTCTGTGCCAATGGGCCCGGTCTGGGACCCCCCTGAGACTCAGTTTCCCCATCCAGAATCTAAGGCATCCGTGCTGATCTCACCGGCTGTTTGAAAAATAGGAGGTTCTGCAGAGACAGCTCTGGCTCAGGGCCTGCGCCTGTCGTATGTCCGACAGTGTCACTATTGTCAGCATGAGAGGGGAGCTGGGGGAGGACTCAGAGCACTGGGAGAAGCCCCTTACTGGGGTTGGGGCACACATAAGGCCACCTACTTGGGACCGGGGTCCTGGAGGCCTGCCTGTGACTGTGTCCTCACTGCCCCGGGCCTGTGCCCAGTCGGTGTGGGTGAAGACAGGGGCCCTGCAGTGGTGGAGCGACTGGAAGCCCCACAAGTGGGTGGATGTGCGCGTGGCACTGGAGCAGTTCACAGGACACGATGGCGTCCGGGACAGCATCCTCTTCATCTACTATGTGATCCATGAAGAGAAGAAGGTGCCCAAGAGAGGGTTGGGGCCGGGGGCGTCT